GATAGGAGGCGGCTGCTGCTTAACCCGCTGGCATATTTCCACATTTCTTTTGTTCAACACAGCCCCTTCACCCTTTTGCCAGCTCTCCTCGTTGTCGCTCAAGCAACCAGCAATCCTTTGTGACATTTGACTCGTCTCACGCACACCAACACACCCACACACTACCACCAACACCCGCAGTAGAGGACGTATTCGGCAGTGACTACTGTAACATGCACATTGCATACTTACTGGCGTAAAAGTTTTATTACCTGGGTGGTGAGTAAAATTATAATTTTCGGCTAAAGTTGTAAACTTTTTAGCCGCAACGAGGGGCGGGCGGAGGTCGAGGTACATTGATCATAAATTTTAATAAGCGAGCAGGGCGCATGCAGATGTTCAACTGGAGTTGAGCTTAATCATGTGCGATCCAAAATGAAAAGCAAGTTTGCCGCATCAAAACAACTTATTACGAGTAGCCTAGCGGGCTAGTTGGGCTGTTAGAAATTAGCACGAGAGAATATGTTGTCGTTCATAGGGATTAGCTTGAAATAACTATGTATAAAAATAAAAATGTAAGCAATGCAAAATAGGAATGTGCTGCCAAACAGAGAAAACTCGGAAGTAAGCTGCCCAAATTTTAATTTGTTTTCAGTGAAAATGTGTGTGAAAAAGGAAAAGCGTGCTGTTGTTTTTCACAATAAATTCCCTCCTTAAGCCAGGATTAGGTTACACTTCCCAAGTAAAAGAGTGGGAAAACGAAATTAAACGGAAGCTCAATAGGCTTACAACTACAAGAAACAGACTCCTTTGTTGCTGAAACGATGTTTATTAAAAGGGTTGGCGAGTTTGACTTGGATAAAGCGAGAGCTTACTGTTCTTAGCTTGATCAAATATAATATGTAACACTTCTGTGAAAAACATATAAAAACATTAATGTAAATATCCCCTAAAAGAGCTGCTGCTGCAAAGCCAATTACACACTAAAAAGCAAATGCAATGCAGAAATGGTAGTAAGTCTGTTTTGCAGTCACAAGAATCTCTCCCCAAAAATGTCTGCTGTTCAGGAATGTGAGGCACCAAACCTTTAGCTGAAATGAACTGGTCGAAAAGAGAGGCAAAGTTCATAAAGTGGCTAACTACGCATCATGGACTTCCCTTTTGGCCCTCGGAATTGCTCGATTCCTTGCCACTTGCCACTTGCCGAAATTTGTCGCCGTGTTTTCGGATTGTCCGGGCTTTCGTCTCCGGTTTCCCAGCTTCCCAGCTTCCCAGTTCCCCTGTTCGCCAATCCGGAATCTCCGACGGACACTGGCCGCAGAAAGTTCTCAGAGCTCCGGAAATGAATGTTCGCAATTTCGCATTGGACAAACAGACGGCCGAGAGGCAACTACATTTTCGGGTCCCCAGTGGCGGGAAATTCATGGCCACGGTCGGATGACTGGCAAGTGGTAAGTGGAAAATGCCAGCCAAGTGGCAGTCGGATTGGGTTGAAAATAACGTGAATGGCAGCTAATTGAAATGTGTTGATTTCAAAACAGGTTAAAGTCGAGTGCAGCAGTGCCAGCGATTGTGTTCGTAATGTAATGTAATGAAAGGAATTACACGTTTAAAGCACTCCCAGGGGAATCACTAGACAGTTTGTGGTATTTGCAAGCACATCAAAGGTCCTCAAATCTGGCTGTGCATTTGGAGCCGACTTTCCATTGGCCCTTAACCGAAGTGTGGGCCTTAATTACAGCATGTGTGAGACGATTAAAGACGCGAAACTGTTCGTAATTTATTAATCAATTATTTACGAGGGCGGAGGCACTTGGAGATCTCACTCGATTAGCATGCAGCAGCAATCGCCGAGGGCTACAGAGCTCCGGAGCTCCAGAGCAGAACACTAGAAACCAGAACCTCCCAAAACGGAGATGTGTGGAGTGGATGAGCACTTCAAAGTGACTCCGGCCCCCGAATCCATTTACTTCGTGGAAACGCCAGACGCCGTGCCCTTTTATCTTGATAAGCCCGACGAGCAGCCGAGATGACGCCCGATGTGCCGGAGACAACGCGCATTTGACTTAATTAAATAATTGCGAGGAAGGCTTTCTCCGAGGTCCCCCTCCTGCTCAATTCCACATTTCCTCCCGAGGAGGAAGGCCCGAGGAGCTCTTCAACTATCGCCAAGGAGTATCACTTTCCTTGAGGGACGGCCAAGAGGCAAACTATTTCGCAGGAATTCGTTGAGGGCTGAGGTAACCCAACGGGGTGTTCATTGTCGTCAAGTTAATTGAATCGACTTTAAGATAGCGATTTAATTCTGATGCAGTCTCCTTCTGTCGGAGGTAAACCTTATTTGATCGGTCAATAATTCGCTTTGAAATGGAATGCTTATTTTTAGACAGTGCTCCCACACTCTTAACTTTTGAAGAGGCACCTAATCCGGGTCGAATCCAGTCGCCGGAACTACGTCAACAAGATGGTTTCGTTTCGACAAATATTTGCATTGAAAACAAATTAAGATGTGCCTTCTTCTTTTCGATTATCATTTTGCTTGGCAGGCAATTCACAAATCATTTGTTTACACGCTCTCGTCCTTGTTTTTCGCCTTGTTTTCCTTTTTTCGGCTGTTGTCCTTACGCTTAAGTGATGTCAATCAATTAAATTTACACACCAGCGGCAGAAAAAAGAGCGGAGGCTGGCGAAACCCACTGACAGCCAGGGCTGTACATATTTTCCTGCTACTCGCGTGTTTTCCTCGCTCGCCTTTTCCAACTGTGCTCCTGCCCTCCCCCTCCCCCTGCCGCCGATTTTCCTGTGCGGAAAGCTTCAGCAAAATTTGTAAACGTGTTTATCTTGTTTTGGCCCTGTGTGTGTAAAGTAAGCTTATGAGTGGTTAGATGGGCGGGAAAGTGTGTGGAAAAGTGGGCGGGGCAGCAGGATAAGCCGGGTGGCAAATGCAAAATAAAAATATAAAGAAGAAACCGGGGGGGGGCGAGACAACACAATAACATTTGCATTTGGCTGAGGTGTAATTCCTAAGCTTTATGGCAAGCATTATTATTACTGCCGCAATTGCTGCATTTCATTTAGTTGACTTTTAAGGGCGAATGAGACCAGCTAAATGTTGATGGCTCGACTGATTAGTCCGGGAAGCCAGCAAGTGGTTACTGCCGATCTGATCACTTCAAAGCCTTCGGATTTAATTGGAATTGCTCTGCGGAAGACCTGAAACGGAGGTTCAGATGTGGCCCCCGCTTTCTGGAAATCGCTCCCCAAACGAAGTCCGACTTCTTGAGCTGAAGCCCTGCTTTTGCTTTTAGAGATAAGTATGGCAAAAAGGGGGAGTGTGGTCAAAGTCTTCGGGTTAAGTGCTAATCAGTTCAGGGGCGGTTCAGAGGAGGTGAAATGGGAAAAGGGCCTCCGGAACATCTTGACTGACTGCACTTTATTGTTCATTTTGCATGCCCCAGATGAGCCGAGGCTGGACCCAAAAAAATAGGGGAATTTATGGCAGAGGGCAGAAGGGAAAGGGGAAGGGAAAGGGAAAGGGCCAAAGGTTTTAGTTACATATACTCGTATCCCAGCCATTTCCATTTCCATTTCCCCCTTGTGACTATGCGTTTTGGTATTTTTACTGCTGCGTTCCCATTTGCGAGACAGAGAATTTTGAGTTGCTTTTTCATTTTTAATGCCGCATCTTGGTCTTGGACAATGTTGCCGGGCTGCTGAAGAGATGGGGAGACGGGGAGGCGGGGGGAATTCTGCAGGACTTCAGGACTTGTGTGCGCTGTCCTTGCCTGCAGCGTTAAGTTCTTGTTAAAACATTATGGAAAACTTCTGCGTCACTCTTTTCCTCGCTTTAAAAGGGGTTCGACCCGTAGGCTTCATAGATTTTTTCTGCCTTTCCCTGCTGCCAAAGAGTTTTGGGCAGAATGAACCAATCAATTAATACCTACTTGCACTTAATAGCCTGAACACCATTCAATGATCAGATTCAAAAGGGAGTATTATTTAGAACGATTCGTTTTGTTTTTAAATATGTTCAGGATGCTTTATCATAGCATTTTTAGAGTGTCTCCAGCCACTTCAGGCATTGCAATTAGGGAAAATGCTTTTTCAGTAGAGAGCCATCGCTATTTGACAATTGAAGGACGCAATTATTTCAGTTGATTTCGCGTGAATTGACGCCACTGCTTTTGCTTTGAGGCAGGTCCTTTGCCAAACACTTGACGGCGATTTCCCCCTCATTGCATCCCACAAGAACCCCTTCACCTGCTGTTCATGTCGCACCTAATTAGGCCAATTAAAATTAGCTGCAAATTACACACATTAAATGTGTAAATTGGGCGGCCAGCCGAAATTAAAGTTAAACGCATGTCGCATGTGGCATGCGGCGCATCGCGTGTTGGAGATAGCAGCTGACTTTTGGCTTTGATTTGGGTTCGGAATAAGCGGATGCACAAGCCGCACCCTCGACATAGGTATTTTTAATTTGCGGATTAAGTGGCGAGTGCAATGTTGTCACGAAAGCAAATGGATTAACTTAGTTGAGAGAGCCATTAAAACGGATTCTATGGCGTCAAGCTAATAAAATTGCATTTGCGGTGTTAAGCAGTAGCACTCTCAACATTCAGATTCAAAAAAATCAAAAAGAAATTTTTTAATTATAAAATGTTTGTTGCTGTTTAAAAGTTGCAATAACAAACTTGTTCAAAGCCAATTTTTATTTTTTTTTTTCAATATTTAAATAGTTTTCTTTTTCTCCTCATTAGGAATTTTAATGATTATTTCCCCTTAAAATAACTACGAATCCCACCTGTCATTCTGGGCCAAAGCCTTATCAATCCATCGCTTGGCCAGTAAATTAAACTTTTCCGGATGTGGGAGTTTAATTGGAGGGAAAATGAAAAAACGTAAAAATCCCTAGCCTAATTATACGTTTCTTCTGAGGAATTAGCCACCTTTTCGAGAATGGATTTAATTCAATTAACGCTGTTCCCACTCAATTTCCGCTCCCGAAGCCTGAAACTCACCTGATGTTGTTTCTTTTAATCGCTGGACCGCAGGAAACTAGGACAACAAAGTAAAGTCCGGTTGGCACTTGAAAACTTTCCGTTTTAGAAAATACTTTTAAGCCGGCTTACTCCCACTTTAAATCTGGTTTAAATTGTTTTGCTTTCGTTATCAAGCTGTTAATTGAGTTTTAATTCATTAGACACATTACAAAAATGAAGAAAAATTGTTAACTGCTGAGACACTTTGAAAAACATCAAATTCGAATTGAGATTTATTTGGACTTCCTCATCCCGGCTCCGTTGGGTCTTTTTGGTCCGCCACACAACCGTCGGTCCGGACTTTCGCAACCGAACTAAGCGCCATCCAAAGCGTAACAATCGCAAGAGGGCGAAAAACCAAAACACAGAACGACGGACGAAGGACGAAGGACGAACCGAGGGACCCGAAGGATTTTACTCGAGTTGAGCGCTTCGAGCGGAAAGCACTCAAAACAGAAAACAGAAACATTCGGTTAATTGCTGCCGTATAACACTTTTTTATTCAAAATTTATTTTTATTTTTTCAATTCGAATAAACTAGAAATAAATATCCTTTAAGAAACGTTTAGAGTAAAATATGTAATGCTTCCCTCGGGACTTATCAATTTTATTATTTATAATGTAGTATAACATTATCAATCAGAATTTTACAAGAGATAAGAAAAGTCATAATGTTTTATTTCGGTAAAAAAAAAAGATTTTCTATATATGCATGATTGGATTCAAATTCAAATCTATTTAAAGCAACAGGCGCGCATGCAGATTGAGACTAAAAAATAACTGTAAACAACGCGAGCGATGCCGAAGCTAAATTGAGCAGGAAACAGGACACCGAACACGAAGTAAGCCGGATGCTTGAGTAAAAACTCAATTTGAGTGACTTTTCTTATGAATGAAAATTAAAATGGGCAACTGAGATTTGAAATTAACTCGAATATGTATTTTCTGATACTTTTTGCTTTATTCACCAAAAGTATTGCTTTCATAAATTATTCAGCTCCTATTCGCAATTCATAAACAACGAACATCGAAATTTGTTGAGGTTGCCGCGTTAGAGACAAAACCTTTTGAACTAAAAGTACTTGCGACATATCGATAAATATGAACAGTCTGTCGATATATCGATTGACACTTACCCAAATGCGATACTTGCCTCAAGAACGTTGTTCTTCCCATCTGGCAACGCTCTGTAAGCACGCCGCGTGTTGTGATTTAGTTTTTGTTGTGCACTAAAGTTAAATTGTTTTTCGTTTTTAAGCGATTAAAAATGAAGCGCCTTGGTTCAAAAAAAGACGAGGACAACGAGGAGCCCTTGCACAAAAAACACCTGCAATCCAAGGCGAACTCTCTGCTGAATGCCAAAAATGTGGACGTCAAAACACTAAAGGGATTCGTTCAACTACTGGTAATCCATTGTCCTTTTCAATAGTACACGAAAATCTCAAGTTTTACTTCCTACAGAAGCACACTCCCGATAACGTGCCCGTTGGAGACATTATGAATATCCTGGAGGTGGTATTCAAGAACCTGCTGAAGCGAAAAGCACTTGACGGCAGTGAAAAACAGGCTCTCAAAATTCAGGAACTATACGAGGAAACTTGGGCTCTTTTGAAAGAGAATATTCTGGTGGAGTCAGAGGGTTCAGTAGCTCTAAAAGTGTGCATGCAGCTCATCAAAGTGGAGGCCAAACATCCAATAGCACCCAAGAAAGGTTGGCCCGCCTACAGAATTCGGCAAATTCTAGAAACTATCTTGGAATCGGAAGAAACACCTGTAAATGCCTTGGCCAACTATGGGAAGTTCTGCAAGAATCTAGACGTGTTGGAGATTACCCTGAAGCACTTACTAGATCTGGTGCCCAAGGAGGACTTCAAGGACATCCCAGTGAAAGCAATGAACTTTTTGTCCATTGTAAACCTTCTGGATCTGGGAAAATCGGTGCTTAACGCTGCGGACTATCACGTGGAAAGCGCGAGAAACCAGAAATTTAATCTCGAGCAAAACCAAAGGAGACTGAACGAACTCTGGCTGGTTATAATGGCCAAAGGCGGTGAAGTGGACGAAAAACTGCACCGGCAAATACTGGTGGTCCTCCTGGAACGAGTGATAAACCACCTGGAGGATCCCATTCAGTTGACCGATTTTCTCATGGACTCACTGCACCAGTTTGGTTCGTATTTGCCTTTGGAAAACTATGAAGTTGAAAAAACTAAAACTAGTTTATTTCAGATGGTCCGATTGCTCTGCTTGCCCTCCAGGGCATCTTCACGCTGATGCAGAAGCAGAACATAACCTATCCGGACGTGTACGAAAAGCTATACAACATGTTCTACCCGCGGATGTTCTTCAACAAGTACAAGGCCCGTCTCTTTTACCTGGCCGACATTTTCCTGACCTCTACGCACTTGCCAGAGAATCTGGTGGCGGCCTTTGTCAAGCGCCTAGCACGTTTGGCTCTTCAGTCGCCCACTGAAGACGCTGTGATCATGATGCGATTCGTTTGCAACTTACTGCTGAGGCACACGGGCCTCCAAAAGTTGATTCGCGCCAGTCATGCGGTTGATGAAATCAGTGATCCCTACAACGAAATGGAAAGCGATCCCGTGAAATCGGAGGCCATCAATAGCTCGCTCTGGGAGATAACGCTGCTGCAGAAACACGTTGTTCCGGAGGTGGCCAATGCTGCCCGGTTCATTAACTCATCGCTGCCAGTAATGGAGTTCGATTTGGGGCCGCTTTTGGACAGAAAAGAGTTCAATGTAAGCGACGACAAATTTTATTCTATAACACTGCTTGTAAGGCAAAAAAGGGTGATCTGATTTTAAAATCCTTATCAGATTTCAGCCCGAGGTTTAGGTCGTTTCGTTGAAAATGCAAATTGCACTAACATTAAACTTACTTGCATCTTTCAGGTCTTTGACGACGAACTGCAGTCCAAGGCAAAGCAGTTTGCCCTGAACTACGAGCGACCCGCCAATTTGGGCCTGCCACAAAACGCGCTCCTAACTAAGTACTGGGAGCTCATATAGAATAGTGTTATTATGCTAAGTTTAAGCAGGATTAAAGTGCTGCCTGTGGGGTAGCTGATGGGCTAACTCAGCTGCAAACCAGTTGGCCGGAGAAATGTATCTGATGTTGGCTGGTCGGAGGAACCTCCTCGGGTTGATGTGCTGCTCCTTTTGCTGGTTAAGTTGTCTGATTTCGGAGCAAGTGCGACAGGGACGAATCAAGGCAAAGTACACGCACTCGGCAATGGAGAGAAAGCTGAAGCCCAGGAACAAGCCCATCAGCCCGCCCACGCAAGCTGCGAAGAATATGAATGAATGATTGAAGAATGTTGTTGAAGATTTTTGGGAGCATTAGGTGAGTTCATTTTGCACTCACACAAAAAATCGGAGAATCCTATGAACTCGGTCTGCTTGCTGGCCCTAAACGTGGGGTCTTTGAAGTACATGTTGACCACCGCCACGCTGCGCTCTACGTAGGAATCGGAGAAGTTCCATCCGCCATTCGAGGGCGTCTGCCTAAAGCCGTCGTGCGAGATCCGCGTGGAATAGGCGATCGCGCTGAAGGTGAGATCGAAGCACGACGGCAGGCACTCTTCCAGACAGGACTCCATTGCCAGAATCGTCCTGAATCGAATGAGCTCCACACAGTCCCTCTTCTGCAGCGGGCAGATGCTGTCGTTCCAGTTCAGGCGGGGCATATAGAAGGTGACGCAGCCGCAGTGGCGGATCAGCCAGCCGGACAGGCACTCCGCCACGCAGTTCCTCTGGGTGTAGTGGGCGAACCAGCGGAGCTTCAGCTCGTTGCGGAACAAACACCGCCTGCTCTGGCGGTCCACGTTGCGCAGATGCTTCTCCGTCAGGATTTTGGCGGGGTCTATCCTCAGTTTCGTCTCCATTCCGGGTGCCAGGAGGACTCCGGTCTCGCGCACGTTCGGCGACTCGTTCGGACTATGCAGGGCGACCTTGAAGCCAATGCTGCTGGACGAGGAGCAGTAGTAGGCGTCAGCCTCAACGTCCAGGGTCAGTGAAAGGCCCAGCGACTCTCCCGTTCCCTGGGCGCGTCGGGGGTAGAGCGGGTTGTCCCCGTCCGGCTGGGAGCCTCTCTTTCGGTAGCCCAACTCCGCGTTCCAGTTGACCGAGTGAAAGCCCTCGGGCAGACTGACATTGCGGTGCGAGTAGGGGACGCTGCGAAGGAAACAGTGCGGAAAACCCAGGGTTCATTGCGAGTCTGTAACAGTAATGTTTTAAGTTCTAAGAGATATGTCCTTAACTTTCATATGAAATGCTTGAATTGGGAGCTTCGGGTTTCACTTTTCGCTGAAAGTCGGCTTAGAACATCCCATATTAAACAAAGTTTAAAACACAAAGCTCTGGGTAGCAAACGCTTTTTCAAACACTTTTCCACGCCTTTTTACAGGGCTTTTCCAAAAACTTTTTCCAAAGGCTTTTTCCAAGGCTTCTCCAAAGCCTTTTCACAAGGCTTTTCCAAAGCCTTTTGCTAAGGCTTTTCCAAAGACCTTCTCCAAGGCTTTTCCAAAGACCTTCTCCAAGGCTTTTCCAAAGACTTTTTCAATGGCCCGGTCCAACGACAGGTGTTCTGAAATCAAATGAAAATTTAGTTTCCCACCTTTTCCGGTACATGAACCGGGGATGCAGCATGTTGAATACACAACACAGACCCTCGTCGGTCAGGATTGGGTGAAATAAACGTGCGCATTCAAAATCGTCGGCGCCAAAACGGCAGTTAATCACCATCGACTTGCAGGGCTGTGATACCTGGTTAAAAGAGTACAGAAAACAGTATATTATTATTATTATTTAGTTAGTAGAGCAGATCTCTACTCACATTCAGTATGAACTCCTCCCAGTCGGAGCTTCTTCCCTTGACCTTTTCGACATCCACCTTGCGGCGACAGAGCAACTGCAGCATGGCAAACTCCCCGGAGTCGTTGGTCAAGTGGGCGACCCGGCCAGTCAGAGCCTGGTTCAAGTTGCAGATGGTCACGGCCGGAAAGGGCTCGTTGGCAATGGAGGTTAGCTCCGGATCGATGCCCACTATCACCGGAGTGGTGCTCCACTTGTCGAAGGCGTCTTGGATTAGGTAAATGGCGGAGGAGAGTACCACTAGCAGGGCAATGCCAAAAAAGAACCTTTGAACAGAAAGTGATTAGTAAAACCCTGCCACCTCGTTCTTTGCGCTCTTGAATAGTAATCAGTGGCTGAGGGCACTCTGACATTTTACTTTTGGGGGTCTAGTGGTATTTGTGGTGTTTAGGCATTCATTTTTTAGATTATACCTATCGGTGTTTCGCAATTTGCTGTTGTTTATGTACTTTAATCCATGAATGGTGGTGTTGCGACAGAACTCATCCGTGTTTCTGGACAAGATTCCCCGCCAAGTGGCCAGCGTAGTGTGAAAACGTTTCTGCTGCCTCCTTGCTCGTTTTTGTTGGCTCCCAAAAAGAGCCTGCTGGCGATTCCGTGGCACTCGCATCGAGTCTTCGGGTGGGCGCTTCTCTTAACTCTGAGTCCTCGGAACGCAAGTGCTTCTATTTATCCATAACCAAAGCCACTTCCAATTTGCCAATTACATAATGTGTTTGTTGTATGTCACTTGCCTGACTGCGCGCAATCGGAATTGTTGCGGTTAGCCCTCTAAATTTAACTTGATTCGAAATAGATTTAATCGATTTGCAATATTTTGGAGTTCTGCAAGAGTAGCAGTCCCAGCTAAAACCCAACCTGGAATCTCGTACGCCTTTAATTAGAGGACTTTCGGGGGCGAACGAAGGCCTCATTAGGAGATTCAGAAACGGAGACCGAAGTCGAAACAAGAAGAGGAACAGGAACCCAAGTGAAGTCTCGCCAAAAAGTGGGATACCCAGTCGAAGCGGGAGAAGAAGTTCGAGCCGGGGCAAAGGCTCAAGTTTGCTACAATCAACATGGTCAAACGCACAAGCGGCAAAAGAGATGGCAGGCGGTCGTTAGAAGGAGACGGGCAGAGGGTCAGGAGAAAGAGACGGGGACAGAGACTGAGACTGAGACAGAGAGAGAGAGAGACAGAGACAGAGACAGGAACAGACGGTGGGGAACCACAGAAAACGACACTTGAACGAAAATCAAATTAAAAGCTTCAATGGCAACAGACGAGGACTTGGATCCACTCCTCCTGCTGGCCACATGTCACCACATGACACCTGCACACACGCACTCCGCAGGAGGACTCGAACTTGACTCGACTCGACTCGACTCGACTCCATTGAAACAAGTTCATAAAACACTTAACCTGACCGAGCTGACCAAATGTCCCCTGGCAATGCGAATGCGAATGCCCGCTTCAACTGAGCCGGTCTTGTTGACTTGTTAGCAGTTGATGCCCGATGGCTCGTTGCTGGTGCTGGTGCTGGTGCCCCTCTAGCCACCCGCTCAGCCACCCACACCCACACCCACCGAACCACCGGATATTTCCGCATCAATGAGTGACCAGGCCGAAAGTTTCCCTGCATCTGCGACTTGGCCTGCGATTCGGACTCCCTTGCCGTAGCATCATCAAAAGTTACCAGCAAATTGACCTAATCTATGTATACATATGTATGTCCAGGGCACATATGCAGCACAGGATCAGCAAAGGGCACTGGGCGAAACCAGGACATTGGGCAGTGCGTTGCAAAGTGTACGAGTATCCACTGTGGCGGAGTTCAATCCTAAACTCCAGTATAGTAAAGGGAAAAGAGTTAATACTTTTGATACTCAACCTCTGTTAATTTAGGGGAATGTTCTGAGCTGTTTGTTCTTCTTTTAAGTATTTTATAACATGCGGGGATACTCTCTATGTCGAGCAGTCCGCGAATTGAGGTGCTCGGTGTTTGGGGCGCCCGTTGCGCTCCGCCATTAGAAATCGCTTAGGCCGACAATTCACAACGGCCAATAGCAGACAGATGTTTGCGCATATTAACGGGTGTGCACCATAGGCACACATCACTGTGTTCTCTGCACGCTCGAACTTATGAAAAACGAAGTTAAATTGGACAAAGTAACGAACGGAGATTACATTTGCTTTAAATTGTAAGTTGCTTAAAAATTTGTGTATAGACAAAAATTAACCAGGCCTTCCAACACTTTTAATTCGACCCTTTCGCAGTGCTGACTTCTAATTTTGGTTGTGGTTTTAAGCTTCTTTCCCGAAAGAAACATTTTCCAAAAAAAGAGAGAGGGCTTACCAAATCGTCGAACAGCATCGTGAAAAATCATAACTTACCCCACACATACGTATACGTATTTTTCCAGGCCCTATGTGTGAGTTAAAAATCTGAAAATGATAGAAAAATGATTAATTGCAGTTGGCAGTAGTTCAGCAGTCAGTTACTGCCACAGCTTTCCCGCCGCTGCGCCTGCTGCGGAAAATGCAGAAAATGCAGCCCACAGCCACACAATGGTGAGTGTGTGTGTGTGTGTGTGTGTGTGTATGTGTGGTGTGTTAGCATTCATGGCCGCCCATGTATGTGTGTGTGGTGGCACTCTCTGCTCCTCCGCCATTTTGTTTTCCTACTTTCCAAGGGTATTGCCAATTCGATCCATCGTTAGAGAAAGATCTCTAGAGGTCATGTGTTTCTTGTGTTTCTTAATCAAATGTATTTCAATACATTTTTCCTTAAACTTTCCGTATGCAATAGTCAATAAATAAATACTTTACAGAGAAATGCGCCATACATTTAAATCGAATATTTAAACATTGCAAAATCAAAATAAAATACACGTATCAGTAGATAGCGTAATATTGATGAATAGGGTATCTAATACAAGGCTTGATTTTCGCTCTCGCTTCCCGTTTTTATCTGCTCCTTTTTTTTGAGCACAACAGCAGCTGACTGCAGCGATATTAATGATAGATATGCGTTCGCTTCAATGCCTTGCTCCTTTTTGCCCTTTCTCCGCTTTCACTCGCCTCCCCTTTTGAATTATGCGATAATATTCCTGCTATTTTCTGGAGTGCAGGCGCTTTAAATGAGAGCCTCGGCATTTAAACAGCTAACGCAACCTTTTTGTATCTGGCAGTGAAGAGCATGGGATTCACACTTTTGTATTGCTGCTGGGTACAGTAAACCAAGATATATGTATACAGATCAGGCGACTTCTCGAAAGTGGGCCTATGAAATAAGCCACGAAAAATGCATGGGCCAGATGCTTCTCTCTTTGTTTTCTAGCAATTGTCCGAGGTCCTGGTGTCCGTAAATCTGTCTGTCTGTCTGTCCGTCTGTCGAGTACTGTCCGTTCATTGTGTGCGCATCGTTGCCTTTTTGGCACTAATTTCCATTTATTCATTTAGTTGCAACATTCATTTCGCCAGCCATTCACACAGACCCATTCGCTCAGACGCAGCGCAGACTGTGGATGTGGATGTGGTTGGGGCTGAGAAGCTGAGGCGGGGAAAGTGCTGGAAAAACCCTGTGGAAAGGAAAGGACAGGACGGTGGCGGAGCGGGCAGACGCTCGCCTCTCATTTATCAGCACAAAGCAGTGCAGTTGGCCACCCTGATGAGTTGGTTAAGGACTGACAAAATGTAACTCGGTCTAAATGTGACAAAAAAGGTCATACAGCAGAAATAAAACAAACAGAGGAGAAATAAGGAAAATGACAGCCAATGCTCTGCTGCCACTGTCACTTGCCCTCCCGCTCTCCTCCCACTATTCCCCCCCCGCCCCGTTTTCCCAGCTCCCAAGCTCGCCAGTTTTCCACACTTTCCCCACTCCTTTTTCGGATGCTGGTGCCAAAGCCACGAGTCGAGTTCCCATGGGTTTTTTGTTTGTTTGCGGCTGCCTGCGAGCTGGGGCTGCCTGATGAAAGGGTTCAAAACTATTTTCAAACTATGTATTTAGCGTGCATTATATAGAAAATGGGAGCGGGGTTCTAGGGGTCAGCCATCATCATCATCATCAGGAGTCGCAGTCGTCATCTTTGTACAGGGTCGACAGCTGTTTTTATGATGTCCCCTTTGCACAGTGGAACCAACAGTATAGATATGTTCCCTTTTTATCTACTAAGCCACGTTTTCAAAAAAATGTATACCATTCAATGTCAATCGATTGAGGATTGTAACGAATTTAACTAGGACATCCCATATTTTGGTAAATAATTTTTCGAATTTAAAATCATGGAAATGGGATGCCTATATCATATAGCTGCCATAGGAACAATCCAGTGTCTATTCTTGATTATCTGTGAATTTGTTTCTTAGATTTGCTCAAAGTACTGAGATTTCTGCTTATTGTTGGAGTTTTTTTTTTGGTAAATTTTTTTTTAAATCCGTTGAAATATTTATTAATTTTTGAAAACTAAGTGGCTTGCCTGGGATGTCGGTTCACAGTGTCCAGCTGTCCGAATCCGGATTCGGACTCGGACTCGGATCCGGACTCGGACTGTCGACCTCGGGACACTCTTGCCCACTTGTAACATATTTTTTGGGCAACGGCAACGGCAACGGCAACGGATTAGTTGCCCGTCATGTTGCCACTTGAAGTGTTTATGTGAATGGAGTGGCAATGCGGGCTTAGCATATATATTTATCACACATATCATGCGACACTTAATAAAAACAATGTGCTCAACATGCCGCCTTAAATGGAAATCCATTTTCACTCCTTTTTGCTCCTCGTCCTTAGCCCTTGGCTTTTGTTTGCCGGGTTATTTAAATGTCTGCATTTGGTCCTTGGTCCTTGGTTCTCGGCCCTCGTTCCCTCTTCACATCATCCCATAAATTTATAATTAATTGTTTTAAAGCTTCTCGCTGTCTGTCCGCTTTTTGTACGAATGTCGGGCTTATCCAATGGGACATTATAGCAGTTTGTGGTTTTCCATTTCCATTTGCCCGATTTCCAGCCTTTTTACTTGTGTTATCCTTATGACGATTATAAGCCAGCGACTTGGCTTGTTTTTCTGCTCCTTAATCGTTTTAGTAATTAGTAGTTGGTGGTTTTCCCAAAATACGGCGGATGTAGGTCATGTGAAATTTTATTTAAGTATGTGCAGTCCTTCATCAAGTAAATTAATAAAGGGTCTCCCGATTGCTGAAATCAGTTTCCATAGAAATGGTGAAAAAGATTAAAGTTCCCGATTATATTGTAAAATGGCCTCTTGAACTTAAGCACTCGTTTTTAAACTCCCTTTCACCTCTGATTATTGGAGTTGCGCAATCGCCGGCAATCCTCGACATTACTGAAAACGGCGATAGTAATGACAATAACTTTCGAGACAGAGGAGCAGCCTCAGACAAACATAAATCTGCCATCGTTCGTTGTTTTTATCTTGGGCATCCTACGTGCTCTGCGTTGCCTGAATATTTCATTGCTAGACAAGTGATTGACTTAATGCTAATTCGCGACTCAATTGTTTCAAATTTTGGTCCGGCAAAACAAATGCAGCAACCATTGGCTCCAAAAAGAATCAGACACCGAACAAAAAGGCTGATTTGTTCGTCAGTCAATCGAAATATAATTGCTCAG